TTTTATTATTTTTCCCCTCCTTTTAGCAGAGGCATTGTCTTTGAGAACTAATTGACTAGAGGAAAGTGGTGCACACACACAAATACACACACATACTCTTGTCCATTTACCATCTGTTTATTTGCTTGTCTATCAATAACCCCACTAACACCACAATTGATTCTGACTCAGAGTGAGGCTACAAGGCAGAGTAGAAACGCTCCCTAGTGTTTCTAAAGCTGTCCATCTTTATGGGAGCAGAGAACCTTGTCTTTCCCCCACAAAGCGGACGATGGGTTCAAAACCTTGGCCTTGAGATTAGCAGCCCAGTGCTAACCAATTATTCTATCAGACCTCCTTGGTTAACATTGATAGACTACTGAATCTGGTAAATACTGGAAGATTCAGTAGGGACTGTTGTAAAGATATGTTTAGCAGAATAAAGTTGTGATATTTTATGAACATTATTTGCTTCTGCAGACTGTTTTTTCCCTTATATTTATAAGTAAATTATTCCTTCGCTCCTTGTGCGAAGTAATTTCCTGTATCAAAATCTTTCAATCTAGAATATACTAGATCCCTAGTAAGTTATTTGTGGAATTAAATCGTATGCCTTGGATATCTGATATAAGATGAACTCATTTTATGATAACACTGTAATGGATTATGAGGTTAAATATAAATGCTGAGTGGTTTGATAACAAATATTAAAGATAGAAACTCAAAACAAACAGTAGTTTTAAACAAATTAGCAGTAGATCTTTATCCAAAGCTTCCTATGAACTTCAGCATGAATATATTCATTACATATTGGGGGATAAGATTCCTTAGCCAATTAACTGTGGAAGGCATGATTGAACACTGTTGGCATATGAATAACTTGGACAGTTTTGCATATTTTCAAGAAGAATAGTGATGTATGACTTAGGGATGTGTACAGACTGACTGAGGGTCTGTGAAGCCAGATGACTAAGACATTTTGAATTGGAATGAAGTTAAGAAGCAATGATTTGCATGTATTGATCTGTATGAAAGTAGCCCTGTCATTCAGTGGCAACATCCTTTTCTTTAACCTTGTCTCGAACTGCTGGGCTCCAAGTCAGAGTTTCATGTCTCACCTTGTCACCTGGATTAATGTTAGCCCTAGAGTTAGGTAGACTATTTAAAAAGTTTTATTGACACTTCTTGATTAGCAAAAATTACAGGACAGTATTGTTTTAGTATTATTAGGAAAGAGTGGCAGTAGAAGTAATATTTTTATGTTATCGTCAAGCTGATTCTCATTCATGGAGACCCAAAGTGTATACAACCAGACCACTCCATAGAGCTTCCAAGGACGTGAGCATGTAGAAGCAGATTGCCAGATCTGTCTTCTGAGTTGTGGATTTGAACCACCAAAGTTTCAGTTTGTAGTTGTCTGCTTAACTATTTGTTTCACTCAGGGACTCCTAGGAGCAGCAATAATAGATGCTGTTTGTTGAATACCAGGTACTGTGATCCTTAGATTATAAATATTTCATTTTAATCTTCCTGGTAAATAAAGGAGTAAGATATTCTCATCCATGTATTACAGATGAATAAAATGAGAATTAACATTCTTTCCAAACATTCCAGTTTATCATGGAGTATTTAACACCAGATCTTTATAACTGTCTTTTGAAAGTATACATCAAAAATAAATGTTCGGACTCTAACTAGCCAAAGGATTACTTTTTTGAATAAGTGAGAAGCTGACGAGTTTCAGAGTATGCCTTCAATTAACCTTGCACGTCACAAGACACATTCTAGCAGCACTACGCATGCCGAGAAGACACTCGGATTTTAGGATGAAGTTGGAGCAGACCATTCCTTAAGATGGGTGGCTGATGAGCGCAGTGCTCTATTGGATTTGTGCAGGAATTATAGAGAAGTACAGAGATGAGGCATCTAACTAAACCTGTGAATTAGAAACTTCCATGTGACAGACGAACCCAAGCAGTTGTGGTCAAGTTGATTTTCACCCACAGCGAGTGACTCCATAGAACTGCCTCGTCGATTTCCAGAGCTGTAAATCTTTATGGAAGTAGACTGCCATGTCTTTCTCCTGCAGAGAATCTAGTGGATCCGAACCATCAATCTTTTGGTTACAAGCTAGCACCTTAACCACTTTGATTGCCAGGGCTTCTTCATTTATGTGCACAAGTAATGAAGGAAGATGTTTTCCAATTAAAAATTATGGCATTAGTGATAGAACCCTGAACTTCCCTTATGTTGGAGGACTAATTGTATGGTAATGTCTGCATATTTCAAATATGTTTGTTTCTGTGCATTAATCTGCTTATGTATGAGGAGTTTATGGAAATATGGAATGGAAAGATAATAAGATTTTCACACGAACTTGTAAAAGTCAATCCAACCTCATCTGCTATCTTAAAAACATACTACTGTTTATGTATCTAGTTTTAGAAAACATAGTATCAAGTAACGGAGCCATGTCTTGGTCTTGAGCTGAGTATTAAAGCACTAGTTGGCTCATGATTGGGCCAGTAAATTAAGGAAGACCCTTCATGTGGTTCTGACAATTCTGTTCTAGTTTCATCTCTTTCAATGACCTACATGTACATTCATGGTTAGTAAGTTGATTCTGACTCATAATGGCTTCTAGGACAGAGTAGATCCACCTGTGTGGAGTTCTGAGCGAGTAACTTTTTATGAGAGTAGAAAGCCTCTCTTTTATCCCCCAGGGAGCAGCTGGTGGTTTGGAACTGCTGGCCTATGCTAACCTTACTTCGGGAAAAATTAGGACATAAGTAAGCCACCTTCTCTTGCAAGGTTGTGCCTTTGAAGACACTCCCTACTAGCCTGCATCATGAACGCATATAGGCTAGGCTGCGCAACAGATACTATGTAGACCCGCCCCTCCTTTTCCAGATTATCATAGTGTGATGGCTGCGGTGTTTCTGTGATTCTGGAAGCGGTGCCCCCGGGCTCAGACATAGCAATAATTGTGAGAATGATAAAGGATCAGGCAGTGTTTCGGTTTGCTGTGTGTACTGTTGGTGTTATTCTAAGTGGAAACGTATGGCACTGAACTGCAGTGACAGAATGCAGAATAATAACGTAATACCACAAAATGGGAGATAATTACATCAGATCACAAAATGATGGGCAGCCACACAATACTGGGAGTTATAGCCCAGACAAGATGAAATAGCACATTAACCACAACAGTGATGGAATGATAATCTTTAGGGCCATCACATTTGCTGCTTGTAAAAATTCAGATTTCTGGGTCTACTACAGACCTATTGATTCAGAGTATCTGTGAAGGGGAATGCTCGAGTCATTAAAAAACACCCCAAGGGATTCAGTGACAGGTGATCTAAAAAGCACATATAATAAAACATGGCTCTAAGGTTTCTTTCCTCTTCAAACATGGTAAGTATTCATAAGAATTCAAATGAGCATCCAGGGAAAGAGCCAGACATTTCCTGGAGGTAGAAATGTATAAAAATAGCCTTCAAGAACATTAATGAGATCCATGTGCCTTTTTAATTCATTCCTGTACCTGTGGTTGGTATACCTTTTTTTTTTAAAATGATTAACTTCCATTTAATATTTGAGTGAGTATTTTCACAAACTTCAGAATAAACATACTAATTCAGGTAGAAAGTTATGAAAATCATTAGTTGCAATAATTTTCTTTTAATTTTAAAGAAATGCTACTAAAAACGATATATTTTAAAACTAATCTATACCTCCTGGCATTTTTAATCTAAAATAGTATATATATATTTACAGTTTTCAGCATAGGAAGTTTGCCTTAACTATTAAATTCCTTTTTATTAACCCAAAGTTGTATTATCAGGGAATGCTAATTAGAGGAATTAAAAACAAAACCAAACCACTTTTGCTAAATCCTCATAAAAAGGAAGGGGCTTCAACACAAAGATATTCATCTGTTATTTCACATGGATTTCTTTACCTCTATATGTGTATGTG